GAGGCACATCAGAGATTGATTAATTTTTCCTTTCCTGGAGCCAGGCTGGTAACCATTCTGGGTGGAATTCATCTCACGTCACTCGGTCCACAGACAGCCTAGGTGGTTAGCTCAGACTGGATGTCTAACATTTAAACAGCTAAAATTGGGTGAGAGGACGCTGCCAACTGGCGTCTGCTTCCTAGCAAAGCAGGTTCTGGACTTGTGGGCACTGTGCTGGGAGGCAGAGCGGCATTTCGAAACCGAGCCCTGTCTCCTGAATGACAGACAGGAGAGTTTAAACAAATCTTTGCAGTTTTTGACGGCCTTCTCTAGCAGTACTATTTCAGGCCTGACTGAAGAGAGCGTTGTAGCTTTTAAAAAGGAGGGGGGGGGGAAAAAAAAAAGCTTAGCAGGCTGCTTGCTGTCTGTGACACAAGCCCCAAGTTCAGAAAACTAACTCGACCTCTGGCTTTCTAGTGCCCTGGAGTCTGAGATATACTGCTAGCTGCAGAGTCTTCTCTGGGCTTCGCTTTAAATCTCATGTAAACTTGCATTTAAATCTCAAGTAATGCAAAGATGAGATAAAGCACCACTGAACTACGAAGGCAATATGCAAAGCTGCAAATCAAGGGCTACTTCTCTTATTCCTAAACATGGGTGGGCCCTGTTAGAGATCCCGCATACGGTGTACAGAGTTGGAAAAGTATTAGCTACTAGTTCTAAAAGGCTGGATTTAGCTACAGTCAACCGTAGTTCACTGACCTATTGCCAGGCTGGGCTCTGGAAACATCCCTCCCAAAGCACAAACCCAGAAGTAATTCATCTTCTGACCGGGCACTTAGCAGGAATCGTTCTTAGAAACGGATGACACACATCCCAGGACAGTCGGGCCATCAAGGGGAAGAAGGACAGGCATTTACTCTGAGCAGACGTTTTAGGCACAAAGATCTTACTAGATAGAAATAAGCCAGGCATAAGAAGCATTTAGAAGTGCTGCAGGATTCGTAATTGGAGCTAAAACGAAAGCTTCAGAATCACAAAGCTGCTTATCAGATCAGCTGTCACAGCCAGGCCTCCAGCCCCCTGCTAAGGTGTGCCGGGGTCTCCCCGGGGGGAATATCAGGACCTAACATTGCTGCGTGGAGAGCCCTTGCTGGAGTTAGCACAGGGAAGAGGGTGTTAAAATGAGGAAACTGTGAGAAGGAAGCAGAATTTGTAGGCTGTCAGACAGTTGGATTTCAGCTATTCAGTATGCAAAGAACCCTCCCTTCCCAGGTCATCCTGTTTCAGGGGGTGCATTCCTGGTAAACGCAGAGGAGGACCTGACATATGCATTGGCAAAGCAAGCATTTTCTCCTGGCCCTACATTGAACGGGGAGAGGTGCAACGTGCAAGTAGGTGCAGACTGAAGGAGGGGGCCGAGCAAAACTTTGGTGCAGGGAATTCCAGCTGCAGCTGAAGCCAGCGGGTATGTGCATGCTGCTCAGTTGTTGGCTCCCACCGTTTTTCAGATGAGGACATAACTTTGATGTACTGGTGTTTAAATGAAGGGTGTGTGCCCTCCCCGGATGCCATCGCATCACTGTCTGCTGGACATAGGTGCCAAAGGATTGAGATCTCAGTCAGGCCAGCCGCTCCGTCCCAAAGCATCTGCGTTTGCGAGGACAGAGCTTACGTGCCAGGGAATTAAGAGATAGCCAGTCCTACTCTACGCCTTTTTTCCTGGGATGAGAAAGCAGCCTCCAGAGCGTATCACAGGCTCATGTCAGTTGGTATATAAGTTTGCCTCCTGCATGTTATTCAGATGGTCCAGTGGTGTGAGCAGAGCAAGGGCAGAAATGGTTGCTGCTGCTTTGGCAGGGGAAATCAAGCTGCAAGTGGACCAAGGCTAATACAAGCGTGATAGAGAGCAGTTAAGTCCTCCCCTGGCTGTGAGGTGGAGGGAACCGAATGCATTTTGTGTCTCTGTGGTGCCCTGCCAACAGAAACAATGACAGTGATAATCACCTGCAATCTGTTATTACATTAACACAAGCTCAAAATCGTGAAACCCAATAATCTTTTGAAATGAAGCTAAACCACCAAAAAGTAAATAACACACCGCGGCGCAGGGCTTGGCAGCAGCAAGGCCGGGGGAGAGGAGTGGCAACAGGGGGGCGGTTTCTGCCTTTGAAAGGGTTTGTGTGGTTGCTCGACGCAGTCGAGCACGGATACCTGGCTGCCAGGAGAGTCTCTGAAATCCTTCCTTTTGGTTGGCTTTCTCTGACCCTGTTGCTAAGCGACAAATATGCCTTTCCAGCGAGCTCGAGCATCCTCTCTCCCACCCACTCCCAAATGCAAACTGAATCAGCCTTCTCAGAAGAGAGACGCTCTCTGTCCAGCAAGGAGCTTTTTTCCAGCAGCTCTGCAGTATGGTGCAAGGACCTGCTCAGAAAGGGCAGCCACCCCTGCCTTATGCCAGTGGGAACAGGCAAAGGCGCTTTGTTGCGGGGACAGGAGCGAGACGTGGGGACAGGAGCGAGACGTAAAGAAAAGCGCTTGTACCATTCTGGGCAATTAAAGCTGGCGCAGCTCAGTTGCGGCAAGAATAGATGAGGATACCAGCTACTCCGAGAAATAGCTACCACCTACCTGCACGCACGCTCGCTCACCCTGATGCGAGCCACGTTAACACTTTAGGACAGCAAATGTTTGACGGCCTGGGACGGCAAGGACTAGAAAGCAGGGTGGATGTTTTCTGACTGTCGTTCTGGATAAAGATCGGTTGTAGGGTTGCCTGCAGTCCCAATGCCAAGTCGTCTCTTCCCAACATTCCTGGGATGCTAATGGGGTCCAACAGCCACATCCTAATCAGGTTCAGCACAAGGCAACAGCATTAAGGGGAATACGGGCTAACTAAAAACACTTCAGTGTAAGACATGTCAATCAGAGCCAGTTGTCCAGGATGCCTTTATGGTCGGGGAAAGCAAAAGACACTTCCAGGGTGCGCTTAATCCAGGCTAAGGTGGTCATCGATATGGGCCAGCTGAGCCAGCCGTTTCCTTGACCTGCAATGGGGGTTTAGATAACCAGCTCGCAAGAAAATATGTAACGTTCAGGGAGATAATCCCACCCTAGAAACCCAGCTGCAGACAGGTGTTCCCACACTGACACCTTGGTGGAAGGTTCCTCACATAGTCTCCAAGAGCTTAATTTGTTACACGTGAACCTCAGAAACAGTTATTAGAGCTTTCCCAAAACACTGCCCTAACGTAGACCACCATATGCTGGCCTCACTTTTCCTGTTACCAGGACACCTGTGCAAGTGATCACATTTACTGGGAAATGTCCTTTGAAAACTCCTCCAAACCATCCATGAACAACTGTATGATCCAATACAATGCTTTTTCCCCCTTTTAGTTGACCACCTCAGGTAAGCAACTGATTCTGGTTATTCTTTTTAGGCCCGATTTCCTCTGTACATGATATGGTGGAATCCAGGCACACCTGCGGTCTTAATAGATGGATCCAGTGTGTGTCCATCTCTCAGGTCAACCTTGGTGTCTGTCTGTTGGATCCAGCAGTCGCTGGGTCTGGAGCTCACATTGGGACTTACATGCAATTTGTGCTAATGCATCACAGCAAACAGAGCCTACCCCAATACTCGCTGGTATACATACATGCCTTTTAAGGAAAATTAATAGAAAGCAACTGTCAAAATTGTTAAGAAAACCAGGAGTTCAACAGCTTTGCTCTCACTCCAGCATAAGAGGGACAGTGCCACCAGGGCTCCCATGACCCCCAAGTGTGCATCAGGCTATGTATGAGTCAGGATGGGGAAAGAGCAAAGGAGCCCCTGTCAGAACCATTTCATTTCTGTTTTGGAAAGAGAAGTGACAGGGATTTTGTCTGCCTTTGCCAAACCAGCCAGCTGCCTTAGTAGGGCACTGTGCTAAGACAGGAGATGGCTGGGCCTAGGGGTGACCCGCGCACAGACACAGTGACAGAGGCAATAGATCCGGGTTTAGCCCCTACTTCTGCTCTTTGCTCATCTGTAAGCGGGAGACCTTTATTCACACCTACCTCCCAAAGGCAGCAGCGTGCAAAAATTCAGCAACAATTACCAGAAGATAGGGATCCTTGGCTGGAAGGCGTAAATCCACCGTTTGGGGTGTGCTTGCCTGCAGACCCCCCTGCCCTACCACATGGCAGACCCAGCGCAGCTCCGACCCCTGTACGACACTCGGCCACAGACAGACTTTCAACATGTCTCGTAACTTCTCTCCTCTTTCTCTTCCAGGGCTCGGCTCCCATTCTGGTAGTTATGGTGATCTTACTAAATATTGGAGTCGCCATTTTGTTTATTAACTTTTTCATCTAATTCAAGACTGTCTTGTTTGCAAAAATAACAGTTACATGTATGAATGGGGGAAAAAACCAAACAACAACAAAAAGGGAAAATCATAACTCGAACTGTCCTACGACAATTTCCAAGTCTTTTCACAGAAGAACAACAAATGATCGAGTCTCACTCACAGTTTGCCTTTTTTCCTGGGTAATGTTTTTTGGATTTTAGCCAAAATTCTTTGCTTGTATAACACTATGCTGTGTGGCATGGCAAAATGCTATCAACACTCTGCCCCCCCAACACTGGAAAGGATGAGAAGGGATCCCAACAAAATAAAACCTCAGTTCCCTTCCCCTCACCCCCAAGAATATAATCATGACAACAGTAATGAACCCAAAACAGAGACTAGATGAGGGCATCACGGGGAGATTTTGTTTCAGCTACGGGTCCTGGGATGCTCCAGGCTGAGTTTCCCAGGGAAATCCACAACAGCTTTAATGATAAAGTAAATGGAAGGGAATGGAAAAAAAAAAAAAAATCAAGCAACAGGTACTTTTATTCCCTTCTCCCTTTACAAACGGAGAAAAGTTGCGGTGAAGAGGAGAGAAGGAGCACAGGGACGGCACGAACCCTATCTAGATGTAAGAGATGGGAGAAGGGGAACAGGCCCCGTTTTGTCACCTGGTTTCAAAACAAAGAAGTGATTGGCATTTTGCTAAATTTGTTGGGGGCCGGGGGGGGGACGGGACTAGGGAACACAAGATGTGAGCTGTGGCCTCACCACCCTCCGGCCTTCGTTCCTCCTCCCCAAGCTGCTCCCCGACATGGAGTTTTTTCAGCCTCGCCAGGTGCCACTTTGTGTCCACAGCCAATTCTTTCTGGGTAAAACTTTGTAGCCAGGTCCCTCCTCAAACATATGCAAGCATCCTCAGCAACATGAGTTAACTCAAGTACCCGCTGGACATAGTGCTGCATTCTCTGACACGGGAAGAGCAGCACTACCTAAAGAGTCGAGCAGCCCATCCCAAACACGTCTGTGCACAGAGGCGCCAGGGAGCTGTTTGGTGGAGAGGGACTGGGGCAAGAGGGCTCAATTCTGATCCACCTAAAATAAAACAAAACAAAAATAAATTAAATTAAACTGTTTTTAAAAGGCATCTGCGGAGAGCACTGGAGCACGTCCCAGAGAGGAGGGAGAGGGTGGTGGGTTTGTCTCTTACATCTTGCTGTGGACTGTTTCAGACATCATGCTTGGGCTCTGAGCATGTAGTATTTTGCACTTTGTAATGCAGGATGTATATTCCAGCTTCCAACATGTCCCTGTAAAAAACAAAAAAACAAACATCATTGGCAATGGCAGCCTCTAAGGATGTATTCTTTTCTTTTTTTTCTATTTCACTTAATTTGTTTGTTTATAACATCTTTGTAATATGCCTGCCTTGATTTTCTCCCCTCCCCTGTCCCCACTGAAAAAATGCATACTCATTAAAGATGCCGTATCCCTGTTTTGAGCTGTTATGGTCCCAATCGCAAGAGTGTGGTCTTAGCTCAATTGCTTGGAAATGGCTGACATGCTGTTGCATTTCAAAAACGACTGTACTGTTTCCTCCCCTCTCTGTGGCCCGAGACCACGCGTGCAATCTCTCCCTGCCTTGGAGATCGGCTTTGCTGGTGACCCACCACCACCAGGTACAGTTCAAACAGTTACTGCTCGTTTGGGATTTGGTACCTCCAGGGATCAACCTCCACCCTCAGCTCTGCCCCGTTCAACAGGAGAAGGTGTGCGTGTGGCAGCAGTCCGAGGTGGGGGGACGTAGCCCCTATACAGGTATCCTGGGGCGGCGGGGGGGAATCCTCCTCCACATTCCACATACAGAGTGGTTGGGTGCAGCCCTGACTTGTGGACTCAGCTTTGCTTTGCTTCTGTTTTAGCTGTTTCTCTGCTACCTTTTCAGCAGATTTCTTATTACACTGCACTGGATTGCTATATTTTTAACCAAAAATAAACGAAAGATTAGAGCATGTGCCAGTTAAATTCAGTTCTTTTCCTTACACGGTCTTTCGCACTCCCTCTTGCAGTTTTTCCTTCCTCCTTTTCCTTCTGTCCCTTTTCAAGCAGAGGGCTACGGGTGGCTAGGATAAGTGACACTGAAGGCAGCGAGACCCCAGTAACTTTTCATTCCACTTTCCACGGCAGTTGTCCATGCTTTTGGTATCTCTTCATTTTTTCTGTTTTTTTCCTTTTTGGTCCCTTGTCCTCTTTTTCACTCGAGTGGTTGCTGCATACCTGAAATAAACCAAATAATGACATATTTTAAGTGCAGCCCTAGGAACTTATCCATGCTGCCACATGTGTTTTGTGATTCTGACTGCAACTCTTAGTAAAGACTCTCGGGAACTTTTTTTGTACATTCCAGCTGAGTGCATGACACAAAGGTCCCGCCAGGAGCAGGTTAAAATAGTTGTGTGCAAATGCAGTACAATATTTAGATATGTATAAAACAGTACAGAAATGCCTATCGTTATCAAATAAAAGTACTAGTGATTTCATGACTAGCTTTTTCACACTGGTGACCGACCAGTTATTACTTGCTCTTGTCCATGTGCCAGCAGTTGCATTTACAGACACAGCACATTTAATACAATTCAGATTTTCCAACTCTTGGTTCCACCGGACAAAACCTCAGTCAAGCTGAGGTTTGCTCAGCATGAAAGATAGCCGGAGACCAGTATTAATTGGTTCCCAAACCACATGTTTAAAAATAATGATTCCTTTATTAATCACGAGGAGCTGAGCAATTTATCTTAGTTCTAGGCTTTTCACATCTGTTCAAGGCCAGAAATAGCCTTAAGAAGTAGCCCAGAGAGAGAGTTAATTCAGTATATTTTCTTTTTCTTATGGGTCCTGGATTCCTGCATATCTACCTATGGCACATTAAAACATCTATCACCACATGGTATATAAACCTATGTAAATTGTCCATACCTGCTGTTTTATGTCCACACAGACAGAATGCACGTGAACAGCTGAAGTTTTGTATCAAATTTCTTAGGCTGTGGTGGTATTTTTATGTTTGTATAGTGGAACATGCCGCACCTTAAACACAAGGAGGAGATGGAGCTCAAGGAACCAGCCCACCTGAGCTGGCTCTCATGCCATCGCAGTAAAATGCAAGAGCCTGGGGAAAAGGCTGTGTCCCCTCCCCAGGGATGTCCAGACCCTCCTGGCAGGTCTGTGTGAGCTCACCTGTGTGAGCAATGGCCTGGTCTGACACTGCAACTTTCAGGAAGGCATGAAGAAAGCAATAAAAAAATTGTCCACCTGCTCGCCCCACGTCAGCCTCTCACCAGCCCATATGGTGTCTAGTTTGCTTGGAACCGAGACCTAGATCCTCTGAGAGCGTTAGACGTCTCTCAGCCCAGGGCCTGATCTTTCAGAGATAAGGTCTTGCAGCATCCGTTTACTTCACATGGAAGTATGAAGCCTCAGTGCTGCTAAAGAAAAAAGAAAAAAACCCCTGCAGACTACAGTGTTGGAGGTGAGGGAAAAAAGGAGAAATGGCAGGAAAATAATGTCATAGTGAAGATGAAGGGGTTTATTGAAGCCCAAGGACCAACTAAACGGCCTGACAGGCTCTGGCAATTTAAGGGAGGGCATAAAAGTAGGAAATTTAAAAAATTGTCTTGGGCTGAGGTTGGCTCCAGCAATTTTTGCTAAAGCAGAACAGAACAGCGGACAAACTGCATCCTGTCCATGCTGCTCATTTTTGCTGGGAGCAAATTGCTTGCATGGAAGAATGGCCTTGAAGATTCTTGACGCGGTGGCAGATTTTTCTCGTACCTGGTCAATCCCTTGCACAGGCCCTAAATGAACTGCATCAGTCATGTTGTTGACAATTACTGATTTTCATGGCAAGGCTCTGTGATGAGCTCCACACAGAACCCAAGGACCATTGCTGGAGACAACACTGAGTGTGGTAAGCGCTGGACACATGCCTTTGAATGACAGATCCACCAGGACCACGCCTCCCCCAGAGGCATTTTAGGCTACTGCGTTCCTTTTATCGGTCTGTTCTGCCTAATATTAGCCCATCAGCACAGGCACTTAGCTGCAGCATCATCACCAGCCTGTTTTTGCAGGGTGTGCATAACCACCTCACTACTATGCCCAGCCAGGGAACTTCAACAGGCAATGAACCCCTCTGGTTACCAACCAGTGCCCAAAGGTCTAAGTACATGACTCAAATAGAGCACGAGCTGTGTCCCTTCACCTGAGGCATCTCTGAGGTCACACTCCATGACATCAGAGGGAACTTTTTACTTTATAGAAGTTGAGAGCTGCCAAGCGTTGCCCAACGGTTGTTGCTGGATGAATGGCTTGGACATGCTATGGTGGGTTGCACATTCCTGTCCCACCAAGAGGTTTCAAACGGACTAATGAAAGATAAGCATAAGAGAGGTACGTATTAACACACAGGTGTTATATGCTCAACTACACTGCTATCTAATTGATTCACAGTCCTTACCATCTGCCTATTTACTTTCATCCCCTGTTCGGGTACAGTATTAACAGCACCAATAGTCTAGCAAGACTCAGGGCCTCTTACAGACTCACTTCTTTTAACACAGTAAGAACACCAAAATCCAATCCCTTGCTTCCTGTGTAACAACAGCTGCACCCTCCCCAGCAGCAGCTGCATGTTGGCATTTCTGGTACCAGGCGTTGTGCTTTTGTTGCAAGGGAAGGCTGGGAGCACCACCCAGCAAGCAGCAGGGGCACCGCTCCCCAGCCCCCTCAGTGGGGAGCATACTTGAAAGCTCTCTTCTTGCTCATCTATACCCTTAAGTGATGAAGGATGCTGCAGCTGTTGGGCCAATAGCCGTTTCCCAGCAGAAGCTAAAGCATTTGATATGTTCCCGTTCCCCCATCCCTCCGAGGCCTGCTGTTGTACGAGCGCGTGAGTCCTTAGCCTTTCCATCTCACTGATGGACACAGCCTGCTCAAGGTTACACAGTACTGACTAGACCCACCAATGATACTGCTGCAGCAAGAAGCAGAAGTTTTACCAAAGCTTACAAATAGTGAATGAATCCAGACTCACTCCAAGAGGAATGAGCAAGGTCGAGATCAGCCCCGCACATGCAGAGCATGGCAAGCCTGACAAACGAGTGATTTGCCAGTAGGAGAGTATGGAATTGCTTTATCTCCATAAGCCACCATAGCAGGTAGGCCTTGAGACCAGCAATTCAGCATGATTGAACTAAGTCATCACCATTAGCAAAATCCCAAGGAAAGATGCTAGGACCTGTCTTTCCCTCCACAAAGCGCATTTATCTCTTGGTCAACCCAATTACTTTGCTTGCTCTCTGATAAACTCCACAGCAGGGTATGTTTGCTTCCACACCCCAGTCACGCTACAACAAAACCACAGATGTGGGGGAGAAACAATCCCACCTGTTAAGAGCTAAGCTTGAGTCAGAGATGAAACCACTAACCTTCTGCTGTGGCATTTTTTTGTGTGGCCCCTAAAGTAAAATGTGTTTCGGCTGGCACTCTTCCATTCTCTTTTTTTCCTTCCTAGCACCGTATGTAAACATGATAGAAAAATGCAATTTTAGTTTGTTATTTACAGTGCAATTACAGTGTGCATGTGTGGCCCAAAAGAAAAGGAATTACTGAATATATTTTCCTCAAAGAGTGAGTAAAAAAGTTAACATCAACCTTTTCTTTCTTTTAGCTAAAAAAAACCCCAATAGCTTGGTTGTTTCGAGGTATAATAATAAACTGAGATCTCTTTATGCTATATAAACGTTAAATGTGTATAAACGTTTTGCAAAGAGATGGGCAAAAGCAATGGTCTGACAGAAGCCAAAAGAATAAGTGAAGTTCATCTGGGTGTTCATCCATTAAAAGAGCACAAGCTTTTCTGTGTTCATCTCAGACAGAAGAATAACTATTCCTAGGACAGACACTGCTGGAGTTTCTGCTTCCTAGCTTTCCACCCAGTTCTAGCCCTGGTCCTGCCCTCGGGTATCATTTTGGGCAAGTCACTTCACTGATGTGTATCTGCTAGCAAAATACTTACCTCCCTCTTTAAGGTGCTTTTGGACCTAACGCAAGAAAAACTACCATAGATCCGATTCAACATCACTGAATGGGCTTTAATGGACGTTCAGCCAATTCTCAGGAGAGCCAGGCACCGTTATTGTTTGTTATCAGCATAATACAACCTGCATTTCTTAAGATCAGGGCAGAGCCCATCACGCTTTGACCTCCTCTGCAGCCACAGGTGCTTAAAATAGTAGTAATAATCAGGTGTCCCTGGCTGGTTTTCTGCCACAGAGCACATTTACCTTTTCTTAGAGGCATCATTTACACGATCAACACATGACAGCTTCCAAGGCTTCCACAGTTAGAGCAGCAAGAGATGGGCCCTGGTGTCCAGACAGATCCTCCAGCTGTCGCTGGCTGTATGGCTCAGAGGGAGCGCTGCAGTTGTTTCGTTTTTTCTGCGAAATGGTGGTTGCAGATGCATCAAAATTTATTTCTGCCTCAAGTTCAATAGCTGCAAGTGCTCTAGTGAGAACGGACGCTGTGTGGGTTTCAGTCCCCGTGCAGGCTGTTCCAATTACAGTGCTGAGCCTTGTTTTGTCAGAGCTGACGACTAAGCCTCAGTTTGGAGGCCAGGACAGTTTGCTATATGGCAGCATGCTCCCATCATGCACCTTAAGAAATCGGTGCCTCCTGAACCAGGCAGTATGACCAACGGCAGCCTCTGCTGGCTCATCCAAAAACCCAGCTATGAGAGAACTGAAGCAGTGGGTGCTGCTGAGTCCAACTAACCTAAGCCACCCTATAACCCTGCTGTGCCTATAACCTCATTCAGCCCCATTTCACAGCAGAGCACTGATGGCCCTGGGGAGTCGGCATCTCCTCTGCAACCCACCCCCAAAGCCTCGTCTGCCCCTGCTCTGTGAGGCAGGCAGCGCGTGCCCCGTGGGCGGCCGTGCAAATGCAGCTACGCTGCTTGCAGGAGCAGGACAGTTGGCTGATCCTGACTCACAGGTTGCTGGGAAGCATGTCACTTCCAGTCCATGCCTTCTTGAGTCATACTTAGCTCCGCACAAAACATAGCTAGAACTATGTTCCAGAGCCCTTGATAAAAAGAGAAAAGGAAAAACCTCACGCTATCACTGCATACCTTCCAGCTCATCTGATGCATCTGGTTCTCTTTTCCAACTCTCTCTTTACCAGAAGACAGAGAATATTTTCCTGCGGCTGCAGCGCTGTTCAAAACAATCCTTCATCCTGTGGCACTGCTGCAATCAGGTTTCAGCTTTGGGAAAATCTTCCAGTGTGTTTATCTGTATTTTAAGCAATCAAAAGGCAAAAAATGATCAAGTAGATTTGGCAAAAAAGCCCAAGCTACCCTCTCTGGTGGGGCCTTTGGAAGGGAGCCCTGTGCACAGATGCTGTGATCTTAAAACTACTATTTTCAAACAACCTTAAAAAAAAAAAAAAAAAAAGTCAGCAACTCAGTGGCAGATTCCCCCAAAGCTTTTCTTAGAAAGCCACGGATGTCATACACATGCACAAGAGATCAAATGTCAACGAGATCAAGCACTGTAAACTAACCCAAGTGACACAACAACAAAGCAACTAATACTGTTAGCCACGCGAGCACTGCAGATTCCTTCCTAGGTTATCAACAAATGCTTTGTTTTCACTTCTCCCTGTTATTTTGCATGCAAGAAACCTCCTTATCAAACATGTTTTTATCTTGACAATTAAATCACATGGGTAGCCTGCTCTATTTAATCTTTATTACTTTCTAATTAGCCTTGCAGAACCTAGCGCTGCTCTCCTGAGAGCTGGCTTCCTGGTGAAGTCCCTGCCAAAACAATACCCGTGGCACCCTCAATTTCTCTGCACAAGGACAGCCAGTGCCTTCTGGTGTCAACTCAAGTCATCACTCGTTTGCTGCAACAGACATGCTTGTAGCCCATCTGTTGTCCCTATGGACTACAGCAACACTCTGCTGCAAAGAAAGCGATGCCTTGAGGAGAGGGGCCGTGTCAGGGAACAGGGGAAAAACAGCCTTTGAGAGTGTCAGACCAGTCCCTCCTGGCCTCAGCACACCATCAGGTCTCAAGGCAGGACATTTCACTGGTCATAAAGGGTTCATTTGTAGGACTACTGCTTTCTTGGCTAACATGCGAGAAATTGAACTGCGGGCTTCCACAAGCCAAGGCCAAAGTTGCTACATCTAATGCTAAAAAGGAAGAAACTTCATCAGGGGTTACAGTAGCTCTCACACAGACAAGGTACAAAAGGATCCCCGGGTTTCTCCAGGCAGCGTGGTGACATCTCAGGGCTACTGGTGCATCTTACAACCACTGCCTGCATATTTGACAGAGGGGCAGTGACTCCTCTTCCACAGAGCAAAGGAGAAAGATAACCTAGGATGGGATTCACAGAGAAAACCAAGATGATGTAACCAAGTAAGTTTATTATAGAAACCGTTGGAGACAAGTTCAGGCCCCAGTTAGGGGGCGAATTTCAGACTAGAAAACCATTGCAATGTGCAGTTTGTCTTCACTAACTCAAAATAACTTTTGAAACAAAAAAAATAACAGTATTGTATACTCAAGCCTCAACAGAACAAGTGCTTGGACAGCCATCATGTTCCCCTAGACCCTTCCACAACCTCTAGGGGAATAACGGCATATTCAGAGCATTAACCAAGCAGGCATATTGAGACTGGTCAGCCCAGGGGCGCTCGAATGGAGCGGACAAGCCGGAGTACCAGAAAGCCTGCTGGTCGCATCAACTGCCTGGCACATCAGGCTGAACTGCTTGGTTCAGTGGGGCTAATCAGCACTCCCAGCATGTTTCTGCACTCACACAGAACCAGCCTCAACATCTAGACTGAATCTTCATAGAACGCCTTTGCCATGGCATGCGCAACTTTCGCCACCTTCTTCTCCTTGGCATCTGAGCCCATGTTGCTGCGGGCTAGTTTAATCCAATACTGCTCCGTCCTGGACAGATAGTCTGCTTGCTTCTCATCAGGCTGAACAGATGGGTGCTGCTCTCCTCCTAGTACACAATGGAAAGGAGACAGAAAGACAGGTCACAAGCAGCCAATGAAGGCAAGCTGCTCTCCCATGCATCAGCCCAGCCAAGACGACATTTCAGCTAACGTGTTTAAATGTAACAGCTTAAAAACCTACCAGGGGCTGAGGTGCCCTGAGAATGGTGTACTATTAAAACTGTGTTTTTTCCGAGAAAAAAAAAAAAACAAAACAGCTTGCTGCCATCTAACTGCTTTTCCAAAATAAAAGGAAAAAAAACCAAACAAACAAGAAGAAAAAAAACCCCAAAAACACCTTCCTTGATCCCAGCTTGAAAAACGCCTCTCATCCCATCTAGGCAGAGGTCACATATTGCTGTGAGAGTGAACCTCAGCTCTGCCATGCGGCACCCCTGAATGGGAAACAGTGCTTTAATCACAGGGGCAAGCAAATTTCTGACCACAAATAAGGATGCATTTGAGTGACTGTTGGTAAGTTGCTTAAGGCCTTTGCACAGGATTTTTCACCTACAGACCATAAAGGACAAACTCCTCTTTCGCATGAGGCTTGCGACAGATTGATATTAGTAAAAACACCACCATGCTATCCAAATTCTGCTGCCTTTGTATACTGGAAAATCCCAGGCAGCTCAAGTCACCACTAAAATAAGCTAGCTTGTGTTGCTAATTCAATGCAGGTGGGATTCCCAAATTGTGAAACCACGTTAAATTCAAAGGCAAGCCAATGAGGCCTTCCAGACTGACAGCCAAACCAGTAGGTATTGTACCAAAATCCATGTTATATTAGTATGAAAAAAAACAATTAATCATTACCTTCCTCATCTTCACTCTCCTCTTCAGAGCTCTCCTCTTCCTCTTCCCCTCCCTCTGCACCTTCCATATCATCATCATCATCAGATTCTGACTCCTCCAGCCATTCTTGTGCTTCTGTGATGAGAAAAACAAATGAAAAAAAAAACCGTTTCCTACTCCTACACCCAGAACTGTCACGGAGGGATTTTCTCTCTCACGAAACTCCTGGTGCCTGCCACCGACTGCCACCATGGACTCAAAATATTACCTAACTTCAAACAGCCTCAATTTCCTCATCTGTGACATGGGAATGGCCAAGGTTCACTCCCCTTTGGGCACAGTAATGGCAAGTGACTGGTTTGTAGGTTCAGTGTAAATCCACAAGGACCGAAAACAAGTCCAAGCAGTTCAGACTTCATCTTTGCTACCGGCTCCTTGGGTGACCGCAGCAAATTGTATTGTCACTTGTGAAATGGCAGTAGCAGCACTAGGCGGTCCACAGCCAGGCAGACAGGAGTATGAAAAATTCATGAAGGCATTCAGATATTAAGATCATTAGGATCTTCTTGACAGAAGGAGGGCATACAGACAAACTTACAATAACCAATCATTTATGGCTTTTCTGCTCTGAGTACTGCCAGCTCACTGCACCTATGAACCACATTGCAACCTGTTTATACCACAGACCTCATTCAAAGAGCTATTTTTACAGTACTTGGAGCAGCTGTGACACATTTCTTATTGAACTGCCTGCTGCCACTGTGTGCAGACCCAGACTCCCCTATTCTGGCTGTACCAGTCTCATGAAGAAAGCTCTGGGGCAAGCAGAGCAGCAACCTCTACAGAGCGATGAGAAAGAAAGCTCTCTTGCCCTACACCCAGAGCCTGCAGCAGGCTTTGACAGCCCAATATTGCTTAGTCTACCACGGCAGAGATTACCACTCAGGAAAGAGGCTATGCCTTTATATTTCACTAAGATGCTTTGCTAGATCCTGGATCTTCAACTTCCAAGTCCAGAGAGCATCTTGTTTTCTCTCCTCTATTCTGCCCCGTACAGCAGGCCTTCAGGCGCAGGGTAGGAAGCAGAGATTTTCTAGATCCTATACCGGCAGCTGTCCAAGAACTGCTCTGAGATTTGGGATGTCAGCATTTACCATGCATCTGCATTCCCCCTGCACTTTGTTCACTATACAGTCTCTCCCAAGGCTTCTGTTAGTCCCTGGCTAATGCCCACATGCTCTATGGTGCCTGGACCCTGACCTCCTCAGGTGGGTGTGAACAGGGAAGAGCACGTATCCCTCTCCTCTGCTGAGTGGACAAGCATGGCACAGCAGGACTTCCCAGGCCTTATCCTGCCACCAGTGAACAAAGACACTGTTTACGTGCCTTCATTTTCAAAGCAGACCGACCAGAGCTCAATGTCTTCACTTACTGTAAAGCCCTGGACCAGGCAGGCTTCTACAGTGACAGTGACCATAAGACGCCACATACTACAGGTACTCCCACGATTCTTTCTGTCAAGAAACCACCACTTTTCAATGGCTCATTGTCACCCTTGGAGGAACCTCCCTATGTTGTCTTCTAAAATACAGGACTGCTGGAAACCACATCCTAGTGGATGCTACATTAAAGGTGCAGGGAGAGCCCATCACCAGAGCTTACTTGGATCCATCTCCACTAACACTTTCCATTCTTCCATTTTGTGCAGATCGATGCTGTAGAGGTCACTGAGAGTGAACTGGCGATCGCCCACCTCAAACATTCCCCCATACACATAGAGAACCCCATGCTTCACAGCCACCATGGCATTGGAACGCGGGCATGGCTCCACTTGTTGGCCCAAGGCTCCATCTTCCTCCGCCTCCTCCTCCGATTCCGATCTCTCTCTCTCTTCTCCAGGCCCAGAGATCACCTGCTTGATTGTCATGACAGTCCCATCTTCTGCCACCACTTCTTTGACTATCTCCATTGGGCCTTGTGGAGGTTGCTTCTCCATCTCATCTCCTGCCCCCTCTGCCTCAGTTTGTCTGCCACGTCTTCGTTTCCTCTTCTCTGACTTTGGTCCCTGTTTATTGGAAAAGGGAACAGCGTGAGACTGTGTGAGACTGTGTGTAGCTAATGACATGTACAGCAGCTAACACAATGCTGCAGATGCTACTGGGAGGGAGGTGGGAGAATTCAATTATTTTTCACCAGGATTGTTAATCTCAGGTGATAGGTGCAGCATGAACTTCTACCAGCCATAAAACAAAGGGCAGTGAAACCCAGGGAGAACCCATGGCATGAAGCTGCTGCCTCTGTTAATGGCAACACATGCTGGAGAGAAGGAAAACAGCTCTTTTGCCCTCTGTCTTGCAGGCACACACACTCAGTCCACTAGTCTGTGACAGGAGCAAGAGAAAATAACATATCATTTTGTGAAATCAAAACAATTACTGGATGCTAAATTATAGAGCATTACTAGGAAGCACTCCAGGTCTTCAAAGTACTGTATGAAAGGGCTAGGAAACAGTTGGCTAGGAAGCCAGAAGCAAACACCTGAGTGGATGTTTGGCTGTTATTATGTAATTGACTTCTTTTTGAGAATACAGCCAGAAACAGTGGGGGTGGAAAGAAGGAAGTTCAGCCAGGTCATTTGCACCTGACTTCCTGCTTGAGAGCGG